TCTTCCATAAGTGGTAGCAATGCATTTTGAAGGAACCACATCAATACTGTTTTGGATTTTGAACCCTTTTGCACAGAGGGACAATCAGCGTTTAATTGGTGACTGCATATTTTTCCCCCTTGAGTTATATCGTTTCTGTTTTATTTCTGCAGTTGTTTGTTCCTTCCTCTTTTTCTGCTTGGAAATTAATCATGCAGGAAGCGATTAACCACAGCGAGCTGTCTGTCTGCCTGTGACTCAGTGCGTGCGAGGGGTGCCTGGACCGCCTCGAAATGGCTGACTGCAGGCAAGCCCTGCAGCTGCAGCCCAGTTGTTCGCGCTTTGCATCCCACATGAAATGTCCCTCATTGGCACTTGTCAGACTCAGAGGAAATCTCTGAGGTACTAAATTGAATGTGAAATGCCCAGAACTTGTGTTTTGGTGTAGTGCCTCTTTTACATGTGGGCGTGTGGGCCCTTGCTTGGCAGGGCAAGGGCAAGGGCTCTTTGCCAAATGCACTGTATCTCTCCTGAGCTTTGCGGTTTTTTGTTTTTTGGATGCTGTTAGTTCTTATCAAAATGCGTTGCATATCATAACGTGCTTCATCTTCGGTGCCCAGCAGCTGGCATTTTGGCGATAGCTATCTTAATTCTTGCTGCTACCGGGATTTAAGCCTAATATTTAAATACAGTGATGATAATGGACACTACTGACTAGAAAATACACAAGAGCATGTGTACCAAGTCTCAAAGTTCTGATGCTCCTTCTAACTTTCTTTTGAAATGAGTTCTTTTTCAATACTCTGTGACACTGGTTGATACAAACAGCTCTGTTGTTAGCAGACTCAGTAAGTAAAATTTATCAGCTACTATTGCATGTATTTTATGGTGTCAGCTGTTAGCAATTGGAGTTAATGTCTGTTCCTTAAAATAGGCTCTTTCCCACTGATTGAGTGCAAATAATGAATCTTGAGTCCATTGCTGACACATAAGACAAAAGCCAAAGCTTCCCTCTAGCTGCAGAGTTGCACTTAGCATCCTGGGACTCCTCTGTGCTTCATGCAAAGCAGTGGTGAACAAAGCAGCGGCAAGACTTGAGTCCAATGCTACACTGTGCACAGATGAGTTTGAGCTTCAAAAGCAGCAGGTGCTAATTGTTGTTGCATTTTGAGTTTCTGATGCTCTTTTTTTTTCTTCTCAGAAGCAGAGTTGGGGAGGGGCAAAAGTAGGAGTGAGGTGGTGTTGTGTTGAATGTAGATAGAACCATAGAATATCCTAAGTTGGAGGGGGCCTATAAGGATCATTGACGTTTAAACTAAAATTTGTCAGACTGGTGTGTCTTACTGGCTGTGTAATGGATGCATTTATTCTTGAGTATGGGCATGCGGGTTTCTGACTAATGCCTTGTCATCTTTGTTCTGATGGCTCCTAAGGGAAGTGTATGCTCTAGGGTATAACAGAAGCCTAGGAATTGTGTTTCTTGCTTGGGTACAGGAAAGTTGTCCTTTCAGTAGACTGAGGAACGTTTCTAACAAAGCCCAGTATTTCCATGATTTCCACACTGCACTTCTAAACAAGGAATATCACGTGCGCTCAATGTGTGACCTAGTGGAGTCATCTAAAAGGCATATTCCAGGACCATATAATTTATACCTTACATTTAGTTACCGCTTTTCGTTTGATTTGTCCACCAAAAATTACTCTAAATTGTCACATCCATTGTAGCAGATCTTTTCCAAGAAAATATCACTGAAAATATCACAGCTTCAGACCAAGAGCACTGTGTGTAAACAATTTGAAGCCAGCGCTGCCAAAGTTTGACCGGTCTCAGAAACTTGCCTTATGCCTGCAAAATGCCTTTTGCCAGCACTCCTAGCAGATGATCATGGGCTATAGGGTTTGTTCAGCAGCAGCTGGACGATAAGCTGTCCAGTGTGCAGCTGCGTGTCTGGCTTCCACCCATTCTGCTGATAAAGCCCTTCAGTACCAGAAGTGCTGGTAGGCAGCTGGCACTGCAGCCACAGTGAGAGTCATCCTTCTCAATAGGACAGACGTAGAAACTAGATACGTGTTAGGGTAGATCTATAGATACGAGGGCTGCTCTGAAAGTAATGCCTCCTGTTCTATTATGTTTGCCCATGGTGTCAGGCAAATGTCGAGGCAGTAGAGGTTGAACCTTCCCACCGGTATCCCATTACATGGTGTTGCCATGTGACAGATGGCAGCGGAAGGGCGGTCTAACAGAATGGTGTCTGACATGGAAGTGCATATGGAACAAAGGTGTGGAACTGAATTCCTCCATGCAGAAAAAATGACACCCACTGACATTCATTGATGCTTGCTGAATGCTTATGATGACCAGCCAGTGGATGTGAGCACAGTGAGACAGTGGATGGTGCATTTCAGCAGTGGTGACTGCAAGGTGAAAGATGAGCCATGTTCTGAATGGCTATGCACATTTTTAGAAGCACAGCATACAGCCTCTTGTTCATTGCTAGCAAAAAAAGCACAGTTAATGGTGTTGACTATGTTGAAAAATAGTATTTTAGAGCACGTTCTCTGCTACATCAAAGAGTGTTATTGTGCTCTTTGTATCGGTTGTAGCTTCCATAGATATGAATAGGAGGCATTACTTTCAGATTGATTGCATGTGTATTTATGTATCTGTATGTATCTATACACATGCATATCTCTGCAGCTACATATAGAAAGAGATACATACGTCTTTATTAGGTAGATATTGATACTTCTCTGGGGGAAGGGATAGGCAAGCAGGAGGCACCAGTGCTTTTCTCCCCCTTACGTCCTTGCAAGCAATGTGTCAGGGAGGGTCTCGGAGTGGTAGAATGCTTCCATGGGCAGTGGCTTCTCCTTAGAGAGCTCAGGCTTTGAGTGCTACCCTGCTCCTCCTCTATTCCCACCAATTTCTTGAGAAACTAATCCAAAACAACCCAGTGAAGGAAAGGAAGGAGAAAAGAACAGCACAAACACGCCGAAAGCAATAATTTAACAGACAGGGAGGTAGGCAAGTTATACATTTGCAAAAATGCTGTTTGTTGCAGAGGACACTGTAGATCAGCTAGCTGGCTTGCTGCACGCAGGTTTGAGCTGCCTTAAGAAATTAATTTAAAAGTCTGATAAAAAACAAACTTCATCCTCCCTTCTCAAGGAGCTTTCCCTTGGCATATGGAGCACCAAGAAGATTCAGGGGGCATTTTCTGGACTGCTTCAGTCTCTTACCAGAGCAATGCAGAGAGCAGCTTCTCATTTTGATCAGTTGAAGGAGTTAAAAGTGAAGTAGCTTACTGGCACAGTTACGCTAGAGACAACTGCAGCTGTGAAAAGACTGTGTTAAGAAACAGGATGGTTGTGGTCTGCTGAAAGAAATAATTTTCCTGTTGACTATTTTTTTAAACAGGAAGTCGAACAAAGCAGCATTAGTCTTAGTTCTTTTAATAGAGTTCAGATTTTAAGTACTGAATTTAGGATAATAAGATGAGGGAAGAATAGGGCTCAGCAGAGTTTTACGTGGGGACTGATTGCAGGGAACTCAGAAGTCTGAAATACAAGTGGATTCAGGCAGATCTTGGGAACCTGAAAGCTGTGCCTCCCTGGTGACGCCTCCATAGGAGAGGTAACTCCTGCAGGGTGAGTGGGTGGGAGACTTGTGTCAGTTTGCAGGGTTTGTGACTGTGGTGTTTGCACAGTGCTGCACAGAGTTGGCTTCGCACAGTTTCCTCTTTGTCAGTCTGTCCATCCATCAGCTTCCTCTCTGCTTGTGCTTTCTCAGTAACAGGAAAGAGCAACAGCATCTGCAGCAGGGGAAAATAAAACCTCCCCGCACCAGACATAGTGGTAATGCCTTGAGCCTGCCCCATGCCACTCCGCTCTGAACTCCTTGTCAGCTTGAGTTAGGGGTGATGTGCTCATTTCCTTTCCAAGCCCCTTTCTCCGTGAAAATTTGACATAGGATGCTCTACACTTCTCCTACACAAGCTCAGGGATGAGCCTGTCATCAGGTCCCTCAAAGCAAAAGTATTTTTAGGGGCAGGCAGCACAGCAAACTACTGAAAAGTCTCAGCACCATCAGGAAAACCCCTGAGCTTCCAGTAGGTACAATTTCTGCTAGTAGTGTGCTAAAATGTCACTAACAGCCTTTGTGATGGAGGAAAAAAAAAAGTCCACAGTGTGTTTCAGTTTCAGTAAGTTTTTACATCCTGCGTGTGCCTGTTCTGGAATTACTGGACTTATTTGTGGGGAAAAAAGCAGGAGCCTGGTCTCAGGCAGCAGAGCTGGAGAAGTGGTCTCTGGCTGCCAGGCTTTCCCCTGAACAGCAGCTCGCTTGTTCTTCCTCCTCAGGGAACATGCACAGAGCATGGCTGCATTTGCTGCTTCTGAGAAGGAGGGTGTATTCAGAGGTGGTGGTAGAGTCTGGCTTCTTCAGAGCAAGCTGAAAGAGGAGGTGCTTGAGTCTTTCCTGGAGGTCTGCCTTTGCACCATACCCAGAACAGTGAGGGGGTGTTGTCTTCCAGCAGCTGAAGGATTTCAAAAGGTCAACATCCCTTTTTGAGTATAATCCTGAAGGAATGGTGCCTTGCAGAAACAGAGGTTGATGGTTTACCAAAGAGGTTATTCTGCTATAATTCCACAGGAACAAGATTGTTGGATTAAACAGAGTTCGGTTGTGTATTCTATTGTTGCATGTGACCACATTACATTTTTGTGCATTGCCAGAGCAAAAGAGTATGCAATGGTTGTGTGTGTGTACAGAACTAGGTATGTGTTTCTTAGAGTTTGCATGCTTATGGAGATCATGCAGGGAGCACCTATTTAAGGATGCAGTTTTTATCCATACAATTAAACATGAAGTGCTTTTAACAGGTTGCTTAATCTTAAAAATAAAAATAAAAATAAAAAATAGATAGGCCTGCTAGATGCAGGATTGGTTTGAAGAAAGTACCTCCCAAAAGTGACAGATTTATTAATCTCTGGGTCTTTGCATTTTGTATTTTGCTGTGCAGATTTCTTAGCAAGATCAGCTGGAGCTCAGCCTTCCACCATGCCTGTGCCTCCCCCTCCTGCACCCCCGCCGCCCCCAACACTGGCCTTGGTAAGTCTTTCAGGAGCTAGATGCAGTGTACATGCTGTCCTATCTTGCTGCTTGTCATGTTGAAAGGGATATACAGATACACTGATGGATGATGGTGTGCTCGTGTCTGTGGTGTTTTCCTGCATTTTGTATATGGTTGATTGATTCCTTCAAGAGGATCCATTGCTTCCATTCCCTTTCAGTGCTCATGTGGATGTCACTAGCCACATTCACTTCCTCTTCCTCCCATACTAGTTGTTTGCCTTGGAGCGTGGATCCTGGGTGGGGAGGCGCAGCTTGTCTAACTGGGAGGAACTGATGTCTTGCTCTCTCCTTGCCTTTCCCCAGCCATGCACTCTCACTTTCTCCTTTGTCCCTCTCTAACACATGTGACCTGGCAGTGAACTGATCAGAGCACCTGAGGCAAAAATCAATCTCATTTTTTATTTTTTATAAGGATAGTTCTTAGCCAGCTTGGCTTTCTCAGCCAGTCTGTGGTATGAAGGCATGAGAACCACTGCTGGCACAACATAGTGGGTGAAACTACACTGGACCTGGTTTCAATCAGCCTAAGCTGGAACAGAGCCTGCCCTGGGCTGTGTTTGCTCTTCATCGGGCAGACAAGAAAGAAAAAGCTTCTGGAAATGCTGTTGTAGAGTACTCAAATGTTTTCATACCAAAGGCCTAGCTGGTTACCCAGATTGACTGCATGACATAGTCTTTCCCTCACCATCCACCACAAGCAAAATACAGGCTCTGTGCTTGGACCCTCCATGGCAGCTCTCACTAACTTTCATGAAACTTCCTTAACAATGTTTTTTTTCAGGAACCACCATTTCCTGGAAGAAGTAACCATATACAGACGTGTGTAGCCAGAACTCCATCTTTCTTCCGATTTATCTAGAACTTGTGTATTTCCAGTTTCACCACAACTTTCAGAAATGTCCATCTTTTTCTGTAATCTAATTGTGTTAGTAGTCTGCCCAGGCTCAGTCTCCAAAACGGTAATTTTCCACAGATGTGCTTTGGCTTTAAAAAATCAGAGACTCTTGAATTAAAAAAAAAAAAAAAATAGATGAATTCAAACAAAAGTGTTCTGTTTCCAGTAAACTGTAAGTAGCAGCAGTGCCTGGGGCCTGGAGTCAGTGACAAGGACAGCTACTTATAGCATAATTCACAAAACCAGATATGGCATACTACCATAGTGGGTTGTTATAACAGAAATTAAGGTCTAAGATAACTACCATATTTGAACAGAACTGCGTATCTAAAATTTGAGGTTAACTTTACCTCCTCATTTTTAATTTTATTTTGCAGGCAAATACTGAAAAACCAACTCTAAGCAGGTCAGAACAGGCAGGGCGAAATGCTCTATTATCTGATATCACCAAAGGAAAAAAGCTAAAGAAGACTGTTACTAATGACAGAAGTGCTCCAATTCTAGACAGTAAGTATGATTCTGCATGACTGAGTTTGTGTACTTAAATGGTTCTATATATCTGAATGCAGTAAATTATTTATCTCTCATCGGATGAACTGCCATGGGAAATGCAGGTAAAACAAAATGCCCAGAGCTGGTATATACAAAAATAAATTCTGTTCTTCGTGGATTAAATGAGCTGAGAAATCGAGTACTGCTTATGAAATGTGGGCATCAGTTTGCTCGCTTACTCTCATAACGCAATTCATTTTCTTATTTGCTTAAACCAGAACACCATGGAAACCCTACTAGGAGACCTGCTGAGAAGCTACAGTGGCTTAGGCAGAGAAGCTCCCTTCAGTACTGAGGACAGCGGGAAGAAGGAAGTGCACAAAAATAAGGGCAGCCGTGGCATGGCACCATTGGCTTATTAATGGACCCATAGTGCTGGAAGCAGTCAGAGCCACAGCCCCAGCCAGGTGCTGCTGCGCTGCATGTAGCCTGGCTGCTGCCAGAGCGACTCAGGGGTGTTATCTTTTTGGCTAAGCCTTGTTGCTCAGCCTGCCAGGCAGTGCCCTGGCACAGCATAGCAGCTTAGCTTGCCTGTGAGGGGGGAGGAGATCTCCATCCAGCTGAGCCACTGCTGGCTCTCGCTACACACGGTGGCATGTGCTAAGAGAAAGCTGGAAAAGCCCCCATAGCAAAAATCAGGAGGAGAGAATAGAAACAGGAGGTAGACAAGGAACAAAGGCCTGCTGTGGCTGTGACATAGCATTTATTGCCTAGGGAAAGAAGAGATTTCTACAGACAGATTAACAAATGTGATACAACTCAGTCTGGATGTGGCCATGCAATTAAAGGCTGGACTGTGATGGAAAGGTGATGAGGAAAGAAGGAAACACCAACAGACATGTGACCAAATAGGAATTTAGAAAAGAAATAGGTACAGTCTATCATCAGCCAGATACCTAGCTTTAAACACTTGAGTATCATCTCTGAATGCTAAGTTACATGTTCTAGCTATTCTAATGAGCTGGAGAAAAGAAGTTAAGGGGTTTAAAGGAAGGCTAAACAGTGAGATTCAAATGATAGAGTTTATTATCTTGTTTACATGAATTAACAAATCATGAAGAAAGACGAAAACATAGTTAGAAGCATTTCTCCAGAGGTTCACACCCTGTGTGAGTCAGTGCTGAACTGAGCTAACATGCTTAAGAACAGACGGATGATGTGAAACATTCCCCCATGAACACATTCTTCCTCCTTTTTTCTGGGTGGGATTATTAGAAGTGCTTTTCATCTACAGGTTTTAATTACTTTACAGTCAATGAAACTTCTACCCACCCAAAGTTGTGGAAATCAAGAGGCCAAGAAATTAAGCAATTGGGTGTCAGCCAGGTAGCCTGTCATCGGGGAACTGATCTTCACAGATATTCCAACCTGTGGGCCTGCTCGTTTCGCAGTGATGTTCTAAGTAGGGTTCTTCCCTGTATTTATCACTGAAAATGCTTTCGTTGTACTTCTAGTGCCTTGACACTGTCGCGGCACAAATGTTGAGGAGAGACACCAGCGATGGGAAATATTAGAGAAAAACAGGAGAGGAAATGAAGACTGATAAAATAGTTCCTTTATATTGGAATAAAATGGCAGCTAATGATAATCTCATTGCATTTCTGGGCATAGAGGAAAGTCATCAGAAATAAAATCTGTTCCATTCACCAGAAGTGCCCCCAAGGGGAAGAACACCTCTGTCTTCCTCTCTCATTCCTCATTTTCCTCATTTGATGTCCTTCACATGACATGGAGAAATGGAGGTGAAGGATAAGAGAACAATGGTATGAAGAAATGGAAAGCAGCTACACAGATGTTAGCCAAGACAACATGATATTCTCAGAGGTTCCATCCATTTTTCAGTTCCAAATTCTCCAGAGTGACTGTTTCTCTGCTTTCCAGTCCAGCGCAGCCAAAAGGAAAGTGATGGCTTAATAGAACTGAGTAGCTATGCTTATTGCTCCACCTCTTCCATGGCATAATAGTGGTAGTGATGGCTGTGACATCCAGCCTGAACAAAGGCTTGCTTAAGTGTTTTGAAAGCTTGTCCTTTTCTCCCCACTTACAAGTGTTGCTGTAATGAAAGAAAATACTTTGTAGGATCAGCCTCACTTCTCTGCATAACATGGGGGACTTTTTTCCCAACAGAACCCAAAGGAAGCAGTGGAGGTGGCGGTGGCTTTGGAGGAGGTGGCGGTGGCAGCGGTGCGGGTTTTGGCGCTGGCAGCGGTGGCGGTGGCTTCAGTGGTGGTGGACCACCTGGCCTTGGAGGCCTTTTTCAAGCAGGAATGCCAAAGCTCAGATCTGCTGCGAGTCGAGATGCTGGTAAGAAGATCTTGCAATTTCAGTGCAAACAAGTAAACATCACATCACTTACATTAATTACAAACCGCAGCAATAAATTACCTGTTGGGATTGAGAACGTCTTCAGACATCTTAGTTTATCAAGAAATGAAATTTTCATCTTGAGTCTTGTTTTATTCTTAATAGTAGGATTTATGAAGGGGAAGTGAGACCCCACTTTCCACTCCTTCTCCCAATTATTAATGAAAACTAAAGATCTCGGCAGTGTTGAGTGGCTGCCTGCAAAGTAGAGGGAGGTCCTGCCTTAGCTGTGAGTGTGCAGGACCAGAAGGGAGCACAATAGATTCTGGATTATTTCTCCCTTCTGTACCAGGAAAAAAGATCAACTTTCCATTTGGAAAGTACATCTGCGTCAGCTCCTCAAGAGTGTGATTTACCACTTAGGGTAAATGAGGCATCCCAGCTGGCTGCTGCGCGTGCTGCAGTTGGAGGGCACAGTCTGTGTTGTTCTAGCTGGCTAAACAGCTGCCCAGAGCCCCGTGCCCCTTCAAACAAAGGAGATCTGCAACTCCTGAGTTTCCTAAAGCTAAGGATGTAGCATTTCACACAGGAGGACTGGACAACAGGGGTCATGAAATATTATGAATCCTGCATATTTTATGGACTAATGTAATTTTTCAGCCCATTTGTACAAAACAGTCTCTTGGAGCTGGTATTTTCTATTGTGTCATAGTCTATTTTGGGAACTTGTATTAATGCAAAAGTTCCTGGCACAACAGGACAGTGTTTCTTCAACTGCAAGGCTGGCTGCCTTCTTGCTGACAAATACACAAGTAGTTCACAAATACTAGAAAGGACTGCAAAGCCCTTTTGCTGGACAGCAGTTGTTAAGTTGTTAAATAGTTAAATTGTCAAAGCTGCATCTCCTTTTGCTTTTGAGTTGCTGGTATGAAATACTAGTTCTTCACCAGTTCTCTTCTTCCCTCCTGACGTTACTGCTTGCTCCATGAGGGCTGTATACTTGCAGTCACTTGGGTCCCCCACAGGCCATTCCTCATGAGCTGGAAGGACCTAACTGCTGTGATGCAGATCCCAAATAGCACTGAGATTGCTGCCAGCTGTTCCTGCAGAGCATCCCCGAATACTTGGGCAGCTGTGTCCCAGCACAGTGTTGCTGTGTGAGGAAAGCCCTCTCCATGGTTGCTGATGCCTTCTCCCTGTCTCTCTTCTTTCTGCCCAGATGCTGGGGCAGCCCGCCCACCCGCACTGCCGCCTGGAGCCCGTTCTGCAGCTGCCAAGCCATTCTCAGCACCCAGCGGCCCGTCTCGCTTCCCAGGGCCACCACTGGGGCAGCGGAGCCCAGCTGCTGACCCACAAAGGAGCCGCCTGCCGCCACCTAGGCCCGATGTGGGTTCTAAGCCTGATGCCACACCGCCACCGGTGCCCAGCACACCCCGGCCCATTGCCTCCAATCTGCACAGCCGGGGTTCAACGCCAGTGCCTGTCCTCAACCGCCAGCCCAGCCTGGGGCCGACACCACCGCCATTCCCGGGCAGCCGGGGCTCAGGGTCTGCTGGCTCCCTGCGGCAGCCCAACCCAGGCCCAGCAGCCCCCTACTCGGGCAGACCACCACTGCCACCCACACCTGGCCGCTCACCAGTGGATGAGAAGCCACCACCACCGCCCCCTCCCTCCGGGCACCGGCCACCTACCAGCCGAGACATGGCTCTGCCACCACCACCGCCGCAGAACAACAAGCCGCCTGTGCCCGCTTCACCACGGCCACCCCTCGGTGTTCCTGCGCCCCCGCCACCCCCCAGCAGGCCGGGGCCACCTCCCGTGCCCCCCGGTCCCGCCAGCAGTGATGAAATGCCACGACTGCCCCAGAGAAACCTGTCCTTGGTGCCCCCTGCTGCGCCCAGCTCTGGCAGCGGCCGCTCCGGCCCTTTGCCACCACCGCCCAGCGAGAGGCCCCCTCCGCCCATCAGGGATCCCCCCAGCCGAGCAGGTAGGGGCTGGGGCATGGAGCTGTTGGGCACAAGGGATCCTGCAGTTGAAAAATAAGGGCTTGTGGGCACCGCCGTAGGAATGTTACTGTGCATTCCCGACTAACTGACGGATCGGGGCAGGTTTTGTGTAGTTGCTGTAACAAGAAGGGGCTGCCCACCAAATTCTGTACCAACAGGGACCTGTTTTACCCAGCTCCTGTGAAGTGACAACATTCACCTTCCTGAGTCAGCCAGTGTGAGTTAATGGTAGTGTTGTCATGAATGGAAAGGCTGGCCTCCTACGTGTTGGAAGGCACAAACACAGCAAAATACAAATTACTTTAATAGAAGGCCGATCTGGCAGTTGTTTAACAGGAGGCAGTTGCTACAGCGTGACTAACTGTCATTACCTGCTAGGCACAGATTCAAAATGAGACTGAAAATAGCGTTGTCTCCATCAGGTTATTTCATCACATGTTTTGTCCTCTGACAATCATTGTTTGTAACTTTTAAGAGTTGCTCCTCATGTGCCTGATGGCTTTCCTTGTGGAGCTGGAGGAGCTGGGACACAAAAAGGCCCCATAACACAAGGAAGCTGCACCTCAGTGCACTCACAGAGGCTGGCACATGGCTGCCTGGCTGCAGGAGTCGTCTCACGTTTGTTGGGGGACACAGAGCAGTGCTGCAGAGTACTGCTGTGACTGTTCGGACACTGCAGGAACTTCTCCTGTGACAAGCTCTGCTTCCACAGGAGGTTCCTGTTTAGCTCTTTTCTGATGCAGATTTTAGTAAATGTACACTGCCTTTCTGCTGACTCAAGGAGCAGAAGGAAGCTAGAGATATAAATTATAAATGTAAATACTGTTCTGCAATGGTTTGAGGTAGATGATGGGTTTTAATAAGGTTTGGGGAGAGAAACTATTCTGGTTTTCCAGTATGTGTCTGTAACTAGATTTCATCAGAACAAGGAAGCATTTAGGAAAATGAACATAATTGTCAATTGCCCAACTGCACCAAGCAGAGGTGCTGAGACCTTTGGCCATGTGCAGCCCTCCACACCCTCTGCGTGGCCTCCTCCTGTCCAAGCTGTGGATTCCTCTCCTGTCCCAGTTTACTGCTGCTCAGGGAACGTCACTTTCCCAGCATGTATGGGCTGTGCATTCACGTTGCCATGCAGAGCTTTTCTGCTTCACTGTGAAGATACGTGGGGAGTTGGTGGGGTACGGCCTGGATCCCCAGTCCACAACTGCTCATTGAGGCCAATGTGATTTAGAGTGGTTTGAAATTGGCTTCACGGGCCAGAACCTCTAAAGAGTTACTGCAGCTGAGGGAGGCAGGAATGTGGGTGCTGAGGTGTGTTTGTGTTTGGATATACCTGCTCCTCTGACATCTGCAGGCTGTGGGCTCCCCATCAAGCCCTGGGAGCAGGGAAGTGGGTCTGCTCTTCCCAGGGACCCTGGCCCATGCTCTGTTAGTGAGAGGCCATGGGACACGGACGGCAGTGTACTACTATAGAACAATAGGCGGCAAACAGTGTTTTTGTGCTTGTCTCTATTCTTTCTTCAGGTCCCCTGCCACCACCACCTCCCATCAGCAGGAATGGAAGCACCTCAAGGGCTTTACCTGCTGCTCCCCAGCTACCTTCCCGGGCTGGGCTGGAGAACCAGAGAGGTGGGCCCCGGCCACCGCTTCCTCCAGACCGGCCGGGAACAAGTGCACCACCACCACCACCACCACCTTCATCAGCACTCCGGAACGGCTTCCAGGACTCAGGTGATGGTAAGCTGTGCTCCCAGCTACTTGCCCTTATAGAGATTGAGTAGCTGCTTTTGGCATTAATATGGCAGAAAAGTGTGGGGTAGAGGATAGAACAGGACTGCAAAGTTGTCAATATAGACTTAAAAATAACCCTTTGAAATATAGTCTGAAAAAGAAGAAAACAAAAAAAGAAAAAAGAAACACTTTTCCATACTTAACTTTGCTACGGTGCATGAAGAAGTCCTAAGGGGATTGTTCTGGCTGCAATGTGAATTCAAGCCATAGCTACACTAAGACTCCTTGTAAGTCAGAACAAGTTAGATGATGACTCAAAAACTGAAAGCTGAAAGACAGAGGAGGGAAGAGGTTGTCAGAACACTGCTGAAGATGTCAAGTTTCTCTCTTCTTGTTGGTGTTTATTGAAATGGTGAGATTCAAGATAGCTGAGTTTTAAAGATTCATTATGCTTTTCTTTTGAGTTGTCATTTACGAAGGATAGATGCATCTTTTGGCTAATTATGGATGGCTATGGAAGTTGATATTTCTGACATTTATGAGGTTAGGAAAAGCAAGCAAGCAAGAAAATTAAACTGTAACTCACACTTTTGAATCATCTTTGCACTTCAGATAAGGCAGATGGGTTTCAAATGTATTTTTTTTCCCTAAGTGGTTTGCTGGTTCAGAACCTGTGGTGCCTTTACATTCTGGTTTCTAGTTGTAACCACTGGGAATAAGCATATTAAAACTGGGTCCTGGTAAATAACCTAGTAGGATGCTGGTTCAATATTCAGCTATCAAAGCATTTTGCAATAGAAAACATGTAAGAAATTCGATATTAGTATTGTTGATTTTTCTGAAGCTGTATCACACAACCAACCAGTAAAACGCATCTTGTTCTGTTTTGTTTTGTTGTTGTTGTTCTTTCAGATGAGTGGGAAAGCAGATTTTCTTTTCATCCTATATCTGATTTGCCACCTCCAGAGCCATATGTACCTGTGAATAGAAGTTATCCCAGTAAACTAGCAAGAAATGAAAACCGAGGTAAGTTTGTTCCACCTCTGGTGTTGAGATTTCAGCATATCTTCCATGAAACAGTGCAGTGAGGTTTCAAAACTTCTCCAACATCTTGTTTTCTCCTCTCCACCACACAGAAAATGCTAAATACAGGTTTGCAGGCACAAGCCCTTTTAAACTTGTACTACAGAGTGGGATGGGTGGAGTATTGTTTTGTTCCTAAGTTGTAACCTGTATTGTAAGATACCACTTTGTCCATAATATTCTGCTACAGACAGCCCGAGCTGCAAAATCCCAGTTTTGCCTTTTGATTTTTGTTTGTCTGGTTTTGTCCCTCTTACTCCTCTTGGAACTCTCTTCTAGGACTTCTTTCTCATTCCCCCTCTAAATCTATGCATGACTCATTTATTTGTGTGCCAAAATCATCCTTGAGTTTTAGTTATTCTTCCTTGCTGGTACATTAAGCCCCTGCTATTTTTATTTTTTATTTTTTAAGACAAGTCATACTCTTCTCTCAACTTTTGGTTTGCTGAGGTCATTATATCAGGATGGATTACACTCTTCTTCCAAGCTAAATTCTGTTTCTCCGATCATTGATATTGCTGCTGTATACATTTCAGCTTGATTTCATCTTTTTTTATCAGTGTTACATGCTGTTCCAGTTGAGTCTCAGGCATTCCATTAGTTAGCACCATTTGGCCTGGTACACCCAAGGATTAATTCACTTCTTTCACAATAGGTCACATCAGTGCTCATAGTTATCCTGTAATCATCTGTACACTCACGTGTTTCTCTGTCTGTCCTGTTTCCAAATTATGAGGTTTTGGTGTGGAGCAGAAATTCCTGTTAGTCTCTGACCCTTCTCTCTGGCTCTTACCTTTCTTCCCATTCCTATCACTCCACAAAGAGTGTCAAAGAAGTCAGTTTTGACTGAAAATCTTCATTTTGGGAAAAACATGAAGAGCTTTGAAACATTACTTCTAAAGCTTGCTGCTTTCATTGAAACATACACATGTTGTAAGTAGCACTGAGACCATGTGTGTTTATATAGTAAGAGTGACTGACCTGCTTTGAAAAGGGAGCAAAGGACTGAAATGCTAGTAGTTCCTAGGCATTTGGAGATACTAGTAGTTACAAACTTAAGTTTACACTGTTTGAAGTTCTTGCATTGTTTAGTAAACTAACCAGAAACTAGAAAGATATTTTCTAAATGGTTAGACAAGGAAATGAGTTGATCTTCTGGCTTAGATGTAAACTTCCACTATAAAAAGTAATGGAAAACTTTCTTCTTTTTTCAGGAGGCTCTGGTCGAAAAGAAAGAGGTGTCCCCCCACTTCCCCCCATACCAAGGTGAAGTGGGTTCTGGCCCTTTTTTGGGCGACATCTGTTTTTACAAGGTTTCCTTCAAGTCAGCTCTCCTGTCCACATTGTTGGAAAGTTGTCTGTTTTGCTCTGTTTCCACTTTTGGCTTGTCAGCTGGAATAAACTTCAGTCTATTACAGAAGTAATAGACAAAGCTTATGAACTATAGTTGCTCAAAGCTATAAATTTTGTTTGCTTGTACTGCAGGCTGTCCTGAAAGGCATTTTATGGACCACGCCCGACATACATGCATCATGCTTACCGGGTCCAGCCCTGTCCTCTTGAGAGTTCCACAGAGGTCTGGCTTTGAATTTAACGAGAGCTGGAACAAAGCTGTTTCATTCATGTGGGGTACAGTGGCTGTATTATTTGATCTATCAAATACAATCTGTTTGCTGTTTATAAACCAACTGCCAGGGAATACTGTATAGCTGAGAATTCTCTGGAGCCTTCTTTGCTTGCCTGACCTGGTCCATCTGCTTCTGCGAGCCATACTCCTACTACATGGGAACCGAAAGCTTGTCTTAAATCTTTTCACCTCAGCTTAGTCAAGTAATTTTGTTTTATACGATAGATAGCACATCCTGTCCTGAGGATGGAGTGTTTCTGGCCTTATTTTTATCTGCAGAGAATCTTCCAAAAAAGAGCACAAGTGAAGAATTCGGCAGCATAAAAATATCTTTTTTTACAACTTTTTTCCTTGTTTTGTAATAACATTACAGTTTTAATCACTTCGTGCTTTTCTACTTTGATGTGGACCATCTTACAGTCATCCATGTTCTGGATTATTGCAACACACTCTTCCTGAGATCACCTGCAAAGAATTCTTCGAAAGTAGTCTTAGTGGAAATGCAGCAGTTATTGTAATTTTTCTTTCTGTAAAACGTTTCTAACACCAGTGCTCCACAAACTGCTTTCCATTTTTGTTTCTTTGGTACAATTAAATGATGGGTTTTTAATTTAAAAAATTTCCTGAGGCTCAGGTGACAGTCTCAGAGAGATTGTAGATGACTCATGTAACAGCAGAGCAGCTAAGGTCAAAAATGTGCATAGGTGGAAGCTCTTTGATGTCGTGAAGGAGGTCTGGGTTAGTGTGTTCAAGTGGGAGCACGAGCTCCAAAATTTGCTATCTGCACTGGTTCAAGAGGATGGGAAGATTTGGCCTTCTGAGTTTACCATGAAGCCTGTTCTTTCAACCTCCATTGAAGGGAGCCTCAGCAGAGAGCCGCGAGACTTACGCTAATAGAAGAAAGAGAAAAGTATTCTGACGTTGTGACAATCGGTTTGTATGTTTAATGGCTTTTGAATTTTGTGTTTGAGAAAAGAGTTCATTGAATGAGTGTGTTTTGTAAAAGAATCCAAATGCATGTAAAATGCCTTTGAAAATTCGAGGAAGGTTTTAATTCTGAATTTTTGAATATTGCCAAATAATAGTTAATTGGACTTCTGAAGTTTAACCCAGAAAAATTTCTCCTCTGTCTCCTCAACAGCATTTCTACAGCATGCTTCTTGGGACCCCTACAAAGCCTATACCAGCAGCCATGTTTCACTGGGTAAAAAAAAAATAAAATAGGTCATGTTAGTTAAGAAAGTGTTTCTCTAGTGTGAGATATGTGAACCTAAGCTGAGGCTAGAATGAAGTTAGCCCTAGAAAATCCAGGGAGTGTATCTGAAGAGAGCTTAAACCCCACTGCAATGTTTGCGTGTGGGGCTTTTTGCCTGTCAGTGGGCTTGGAGGGGCAGACTGCCTCTGTCCTACCGCTGGGTCAGTCACCATGAGGAGCACAAGGCAATGTAACTTCTTGGCCTTTTTGGTATTTGTTTACAGAATCTTGTTAGCTGTGATAGCATTTGATTATATACAGGTTTTTACATTTTTGTATCTAATGACATATTTTCAGTTACTATCTACGGTCTTGAACCTGCAATTGAGTGCGCAGGCGCAGGGATGTATCTACATCAAGTTGCAGGGTCGTGGCTGTAAGAGTTTCTTAAAGAAATATTAATGGGACCTCCATGTGACAGGTGCACCTTGAGATCAAGCCTAGCTCAGTACTGAATTTCTATGTATTTTATGGATGTCACTTAAACGTGTCCACTATGCACAGTGCCTGTCTCTTTGGCTTATTGTTATGTGAATAGAAGTCCAAATAAGATTTTTAGGATAATAACTTAAAGGATAAATTATTGTATTCATGTTATTAAACTGAAGCACTTACAACTTTGAGTAGCAACATTCTGAATTTAAGAATACAATATTTTTGATACATTGACCTGCCAAATCTTTAATATCCAAACAGCTATGCAGCCAAAAAAACTAGAAAAAATAAAATCCAAGAGCTGTACTGTGTCTTGTAACTTACCTGCTTCCAGTATGACTGTTTTACTTCAAGTAAAATGCTGCAGATTGTTCTGCCACCCCTCTGCATCATTCAGAATATCCCGTATTTGATCTTTTTGGTAAGGTTCGCTGACCAGAAAGTCTGGACCTTAACCAGTGACTTGGCAAGTCAGCTTCAGTCTCACTTAAAATGGCTGCATAGAAGGCCCTCAGTCAACAAGCTGAGAAACCCAAGCTGCCTGTTGGTCTCAGCACTTCCTTGTACTGTAGAAACCTCCTCAGAACGGCTGTTTGGCATATATGTAAAGTACCTTAAAAATGCAGAAAGAGGTATTTTTTCACTAGCAACAACTTGACTATTTATATCTTTTACGATAAAATTCCCTAGTATAATCCAGAACAATGCAGCATTTTATCTTCCATATATCGCTTCACGTATCAGTAGCTTTTTACAGTATGAGCAGTATTAAGGTATTTATTTCACTATGAAGTCTTAAAAAGAAAAAGGATACAGAACAGGTTGATACAGTGGTGCCTTATGACTTTTTTAGTCAACTTTTCTGTTTCACAAGACAAATGAAGTCGTTGTTCTTGCACGTCCCAACATAAATAGTGCTGATAGCAGCATTGCACAGTGCTGCGCCGAGTCCTGCTGCTGTTGTGTGCTCAGTCTGCTAACTTGAGTGAGCTGAATGTGAGGAGAGGTGTGGGTCAGCTTCCAGGTGAGACATGGTGGCACTGGTGCCATTGCTGGCATTGCTCTGGAAACCTCCCCTTCTCCAGACAGCCCAGCTGCCTTCAGCATGTTTGCACAGTGTTAAAGGACTAAGCTGGGTTCACTGCTTGCATCTGACAGTTACTGATTTTGTTTTAATGCCATTGTCTTAGTAACATTCACACCTCAAAGCTTTTTTATGTCGGCACCAAGATTTGCATTGCATGACAATGGCCATGAATGTTCACCTTTGTTTAATTTGACAAAGTAAATAAAATGAGAATAACTTTTGTAGTAATTTCTGCTCAGTATTTCTGTAAGGAAACACAAGCTGTCTGCTCTGACTTTGTGCAGCAGCTGCAGGGAGAAAAGCTCCCAGTGATTTGTGTTCAGAGTTGTTGAAGGAAGCTCAGCTTGTGGTGCAGGAAGCATGTATTTCTGTAAATGAACCACTTCTTGAATAAGGTTGCAAGGTTCTCATTGAGAAGCCACCATTTCCCAGAACCAAGAGAGTCATAAAAAATGTTCTTTTCTGCAAGACTGAGCTATTAGAGAAGTTGCTTCGGTTGCCATTTTAAAGGGATGGGAGCAGTTTGTCCTTGCAGCGCTGACTGCTTACATGTCATTTGTATAAGTAAGTCTCTGCTGGAGAACAGAGCTGCTGTTGTGGTTCACATAGTTTGCAAGACAACTTCTTCTGTGCTGAAATATGAAAGTAGGAAGGGTGCATTTACTGTTGGATGCAAAAAGTGGAGCTGGATGATCAAAGTGGGGTTGTTTCAAGCAGAATGTTGGCTGCCAGGAGAGGGGAGCTGGGGAGGAGAAGTGCACCCATGGAGGATAAGCCAGTTGGCTGGATACGGGCACTCATATGAAAGCACAGAGCCAGGTGTAAGCTGTGTGAGTGTGAGGTTGTGAACGCTGTCTGTCAGTGCACTCTGCCTGTCACTGTGGTACTTTGAATCTGTACAGTACGTCTTGGATGAACTTCAACCTTTCAGATTGTACTCACCAGAAAAAAAGGGAGAATCTCTTACTGGAGGTGCTCAGTAACACACACACAGTGGCTCGTGGAAAGCTCTGTACGTCCCTAAGGGAACGCAGGGTTGCTCAGCCTGCCTGGTGGCACTGCTACCAGTTATGAACAGGGTGCTGGCAGTGCGGGGAGTGCTGAGGGAAACCGGGAGGGCTGCATGTCCTGGGCAAGGGAGAGGCATGTTGGCATGCTGATGTTTTTGTAATTTGCGATACAGGTTCTTTAGCATAAACTCGTACGTGATAAGGCACTCTAAGTTTGGACTCAAAGTCACACAAAACTTTAAAAGAGAAACATAACTTCCAATGCAGGCTGAGCAGAAAGTAACATGTTTTTTTCAGGCACTTACAGTTGGAATTTATATAAAATATTAATCGAGTTCTGTGAAATTTTCCTGCTTAACATTTATCTTGTATGTGATTTTTTTTTTCTCCTTGTTTTTCTATCCTATGCGAAATAAATTTTACTTTTATTTACTCGCTGGTGCGGCCTGTTGCATTGAGAACGTGATGTGAGCCTGGATGGCTGTGCGGCAGCAGCGCAGCTCCTCACCTGCCTGCACCTCTCCTTGGAGCTTTGGGCTTCCACGTGGGAAAGGTTGGGTGTTTGCAAGGAAAGTTTAGTTTGGCATAAAGAATATTAGATAAGAAGTGTGGCCAGTGATGCTGTGCTTGTACGTAGACCTTGCTTTAGTCATCCTTTGGTGAGCAAAATCTCTGGTGGTGGTTCTTAGCTTTGTGAGCCTAATGCTTGCCATGAGGAGATTATATGGAAAATGTAGCACTTGGTGTTAACCACAGTTCTGCTATCTCCACTCTCTTGCCAAGAGGCTTCCAGAGTATATCACATACTTACAAACAGATGAAACCTTTCTTTTGATTTTAGAGCCCTGTTCTTGGTTTTGGAGTTAATCTTTTCAGGAGATTCGAATGAGGTTCAACCCAGGAAGACTCTTTGGTAGAAGTCCAAAGAAGGCTCCAATTCAAGCCACGGTTCTGGTGTCTCCTTCAAAATTAGAAAGATCATTTAAAACCCTGATCTAAAAAGCTCCATGTAGAAACTCATTGACCTCATCAGGCATAGCTGTAGGTTCGTTCTTATGCAGCTGTGGATCCTTTGGCAGCCATGAGGACTACTTGTTGGTGATCCAATTTACAGACTGGCTGGGACAGAGGTTTCTGTGTTTTCCAGAGGCCACAGACAGCCATGGCTCATCTGTATTCAAAGGCCCACTGGTGCCTTTGTATGGGTAGCAGGTATGTGGGTAGCAGGATAATGAAGGGGGTGAAGGCTGTGGGCACAAGGGCTGCGGAGGAGCTGGTTCTGCAGGCTGAGCTTGGCTGCAGCAGTCCTGAACCAGGACCCAGAGGTATGAACCCAAGGGTCAGCTAGCAGGACCAACTCTTCTGGTTTCAGTCAAAGGAAACATGCCTCTTTCTGGGTTTTGCTTGACTTTGGGAAGAAGGAACTGAACTGAGCCATAACCGCAAATTTAACTCAAAAAAGAATACTGTTGTTTTTAAAAGAAAACAAAAACAAACAAAACAAAAACCAGTATACTTTGTAATGCTTGTAAATGCTCTCCAGTTGCAGGAAGGATCCAGCACTGGCTCAGCAGCTCCCATAGCTATCCTGCCCTGTTACAGGCTGGCTGCATTGTGCATTGCTATTAGCAAATTGGTCCTGGCCAACCCATTATCAGTTTAGGTGCTAAATGTTGTTCTATACATGCCTACGCAACAATTATGTATTTTTTAGGTTAGCTAATGAAACAGAACCCTTCAGGATTGGATTTTCTCTGTCTGATAGCCATTATAACAAGTGATTCCTAACAGCTGCTTCAGCTATGGTACAGTTCTCTGAAAAACAACCAAATGTGATGTGAGCTTCATACCAAGATGTTTCATTTTCAGTTGCACTCTTAGAGTGCCTATAAATGTTATTTCATACATAATGAAACTGCGTTTTACACTTTTAAGTGAGCTTATCCTTCAGCTTGTCAGGACACTGTAACCCTCCGGAGAAGTTCTGCTTGCTCTGCCAAGCTGAGAGGGGCTGGTGCATACACACTCTTGCCAGCTTTAAAGCCAAAGAAGTTATTTTGTTATAAACCAAGCTGTTTCTCCCCATGGGCGTTATATGCTGTCTGCAAACAGCTGTGCCTGTGCTCCACTCCCTCTTGCAGAGATGTCACAAGAAACATTTTGTGGAGCAGATAGGGGCCTCGGAAACCTTTTCTGTAACTTGTTGCTTATTATGCCTTTGTGGTATCTGTGCAGCTCATTCTGTGAGCTTCTCAACACATACATAAAGATCTTAAACTTTGATGAAGCATAAAAGCAATAGAATAGCACTTTGTCTCCAGACTCCAGTAGATTTTGCAGTGATACAAATAATTTCTGTTACTGATGTGGATCAGTGAAAGCCTTTCAGCACAGAGATTGTACCCACCAACTCATGTACAGATATAAAAGACACCTTGGGGCAGTGTGTGCTGTAGGAGGATGGAGAAGTTTGTTGGTGCTTAACTCTGTGAGGTGCTCCTTGTCTTTCTGTAACCACTGAAAGAAATCAGTAACACTGCACTTTATCTCAGGAGGTGTTTATTGGTATTCCCCTCCCATCATCTGCCTGGTGTTCAGGGAGCCCTCTAGCACAACCTTCCTTGGTCCAGTCAGCAGCAGCCCGGCTGTGTTGGTGCACTCTCCCTCTCCAGCAGCCCTATGCTGTGCAACCCTTTCATGACTTCCCCCAATGGAGGCCAAACGTTTCTCGTCTGCCTTACAGCCCCACAGGCCATGAGGCAGCAGCTTGACTGGATAGGAAATGTGACAGCTGTGTGAATCCTTCAGCTCTGACAGAGCATGAGTTCCTTCCTATTGGATGGAGAAATCGATCTGAATTTTTCAAATTTAAAAAAAAAAAAAAAAAAAAAAGGCTACAAGTTTATTCTGTTCTTTCATAGCCAATGATAACATATTTAAATGTTAATTTTTTGGTGCCTAAGGCTATTTATTTCAACAGAACTAGAGTCTGTTGGAACAGTTATGGTTCTGTGATTTTTTCTTCCTTCACAGCAAGGCTCATAACATACTACATTTCAGCAGCAGCCCAGGTGCAGAGATGCTCTTGACTGCCATGAAGTCAGTTGGATTAGATCACTAAACATTCTGAGGCTGCTGCCAGTGTTGCCCATGTCCAGTATCAGTGTCTACTGAAAAAAAACATCTCAATGGAGAGACAGACAGTGGTACTTCAGAGGAGTAGTAGGTAACTGCTACTTAAAACACATCTATGGCTTAAGATACAGCTTCTGCAGAAGCTACATAACAAATCTAAATCAGAAACCTGTCACAAAGGCTGTCTATGCAGCAGTCACGCCTTCACAACATGTCACTTCTTAATTTTCATATGTTTTCCTCTCTGTTTATATCATTCTTTTATTTTTCTTCCTCAAATAGAAGTTATTTTTCAGGCTTGCTGACTTATAAGCTGCCTAAATACCTTCCTCATTCGGAATACAGAACAGTTCCTTTTTTTCCTTTTCTTTTCTTTTCTTTTTTTGTCAAGAGTGCAGCAGATTAACAAAGAATTGTTTGCCAGCAGCCCCTGAGATCAGGGCAGAGGCAGGGGCTGCGGTAACAGCGCTCCTTGCTGCTGGTTCCCTCACTGCAACAGGAACCGCTGCTGCTCCCTGCAGCCAGGCCGCAGCTCGTCACTGTGAGGAAAAAGTGTTCTGTTTGTGGGACCACGGACCTCCTGATTGGGCATTGTGGTCACAGAGGACGAGTGTTCACTTCTATCATTCTCACCATTTAAAATAGCAGCTTTCACTTCCCCTCCTTGCCAGTAGCTTGGGCTCCTTCTGAAAGCTGGGGACCTGCTGCTGGTGTCCTTTGGATACACAGTGTATTCTCCTCAGCTGTGCTGCAGGGCTGCTGCTGTGCCTTCATCTATCTACTTTCCAAATGGGTTCTTGTTTTTCGTTGTGTTATCATTGATTTTACAGGTAGAAGTTGACATAAGTGCTGTGAGGAGATGCCCACACACCTGTCTGCAGGTTCATTCTCCCCACACACTGCTGGGCACTGGTATAGCAGTGGTGAAAACTGCAGACGTGTTTCTTCCAAGCTGCAAACAACTATTGATACAAGTGCAAGTGCATGATATAACAAGCAACCTTCTCCATGAGTGTTTGGTTTGGCAGCAGGCAGGTGGGTCAGGTGAGTGGTTTCCCCATACTGAGAACTGCTCAGCTCAGTGCAGGAGCCATGCTGCCAGCTGAGTGCTGTGCCACAGGCAGCCCGGGCTATGTGCCTTATGGAGGGGCATGCCGCACAGCAAGGTGACAGCAAGGATGTTCCCTGCCGTCCTTACCAGGGCGTTTCACCTCCTTGCCTTTCCACCAACTCCTCCCTTCCCTGTGCCTCCCAGCCGGTGGCCAGGCCGGCGCTAGGTGGCACTTCGCGCTTGGCCTAAATTTCGCTCTTTGCAGACAGCGGCTTTAACAACAACGCCAGAACTCGAGTTTTGTGTCAGTGAGAGGAGTTTTGCCTCCACCTCGCTGCCGGGAGCACAAATAGTTCCCAGCTCGCAATCTGTGCTCCCGTTGTGTTGCTGTTGGGAATGTGATTGCAAGCTCTGTGCTGTGGCCCATCACTTCAGGAGCACTGTGCGCTTTGTGACCGCTGGGCAGGAGCTTGTTTACTTGGGACTTATACAGCCTCATTCCCCCGCGTGGTTACACAACTCTTAGGCAAGTAAAATGCCAGTATTGGCATAAAAATGATGCAAGAGAACAACATGTGTGACTCTGCCCTGTTTCAGTTTAACCTGAAAATGGCATGCTATTAGGGCCAAACTAAGTATTCACCTGCAGCTGGAGAAGGAGTTAAGAATAAGCACCGAATATCTTTTGTTTGTTAATAAAGTCAAATGGCAATAGCACGTAGTTGTATGGAAGCCACCCTGACAATATTCCAGTATTAAAATAAGAATTTGCTCAAGTGTTTAGGAGAAGAAATTCCTTCTCATTGTGAGCCAGAGAAATAGAAAACAAAATGAGATCCCCACAAGCATAGGAATGAAATGCTGGCCACAAAACTAAAAGAAATGACAAACTGCTGAATGCAATCTGGAAAAGATATAGGGGAAAATCTACAAATTACAGAGAGAGAAGTATGAAAACAGAGCAGGGAGAAAAATATCTGCAGTAGCTGAAGAGCTCAGCAAGGAGAGGGCTTACCTATCACAGCCTGTGACAGGGGACCAGGAAAAGGAAAATGCTGTGGCAGAGATGAAATAGAGAAGAAATAAGAGAACAAATAAACTGTTGGGTTTCTACCAGGGGATATAACGCACTACATTCAATACATAGTTTTGGATAGTGTTTAAACTATGTTTGTACAGATGCTTGTACAGGTGGGATGTAGTGTGATCACAAGTAGAAACTCAGTAAGTACAGGACATTTTACAGAAACTTGGGTCATATTCTCAACATATCTCCAGAGCTCCCCCTTCGTGTTGCAGCAGTCAGTTTTGCATTCCTTTCACCTGCCAAACCAATCATGCACTGAATAAGCAACAGGTGCAGCAGATTCCATATGAGAAAGAGTTTATTTATTCAGGGCATCATGCTTTAATAGCTTCCTTGAGTAAATCACTATTTGCACTTGCTCATTTGCTTGTGCATATGTGGAGAACTGTTTTATTGTTATTTTTGTTCTTTACAATAGTTAAGATGAACCTGTATGGTGTTATAGTGACTGAGAATGCATTACAGGCTGCACAGATCCAAAGGAGCGTGTGAGTATTCTCAGATCAAATAGGACCATAGCTCTTACATCCTATTTTTAATAATTTCATCACCTACTGTTAACATTGTGAATGCATGAAAATGTAAAATAAACCGTAAAATTCTGTGTATGGCAGGCACGCCTCTAACTAGTATGTAAGACAAATGAACAAGACTTGATAATTATCTTCCATGTAAAGCACTCAAAAACACTATGTTAAAATAGTGACTTGTTTGTTTGTTATGTGATATTCTCATTGTTATTTTTCTTCAGCCTGGGTGGTTAACTTGGAAGTTTCTCTGTGACCAAGTCAATCCCCAAACTGATATACTAGAAACCAAGTCTATGTATGTAGAATCTCCCACTTTAAGGGGAGACAAAGCAATGCTGCCATTTCAGAAGAAATCAGCTAGAGCTATTCTGAATTCTATCAAATTCAATGCAATATAGTTTGAACTTTTATTTCTCCCTTTTTGCTTTAGTGAAGTGAATTTTGCTATTTAAAGTGTTTATTTTGCTTGCTGACAAGGTCAGTTCCTTTCACCAGGCTTAAACGTGTGTACACACTACTAAAGCTCTGGTTTGATGTTCTGCAAGCTGGCTGTTAGCTTTTTTTATTGTTTTCTGTCAGGTGCAGTGTTGGGAAGGGTACAGTTGCACCCATGGGTGCTTGAAGTGCCAGTAACAAGTGCCCATGTCTCAGCTGCAGGACCATGGGATGTGGGCAAGATACGGCAGAAGTGGGCTTTGCAACACCAACCCCAACACATACATAGCCACTCAAAAATACCACTTATATAAACTTTCATAAGCAGTGCAGATAAGAAAAGGTACTGCTGCACAACCATAGGTGAATGAATAAATAAGTATCTGAAGGAGGAATAATGTTATGTGAGGATTCCTTTGTATCCACTTGTGACTGTCAACATCCTGTTGACACCCTCCTCACTTCTGTGGTGGCCAGCTTCAGGCTTACAATCAGCAGTGCTTGGCATGGTGCTCTCTAGGCCTCAGCCTCAGAATGTTCCCAGGATCACAGAGACTGGGATTGTCAAGTGTCAGAAATGAGGGAAATTCTCCTCTGGAAAGCTGTTAATCAATTTCTCCATGACCCACTCCCCCCTTCTCCCAGAGAAGAAATCCTGGGGCTTGTTGTCTTTCTATGAATACTTTTTTCTCATTTTTCCTTTGATGCTTAATTACCCTCCAGACAAACGTATGTTGTAAGCTATCATTTATTTTGCAGTGCAAGTGATCAGATGATCTAGATATGGGTAAGTTTTGAGTTGTTCCTGAATGCCCTAAGCACAACTGCAACAGGACAGATGCTTGAAAACAGCAAATTGAGCCCTGAACTAGTGCACCATCTGTGGGCATACCGCCAATTTTCACATAAAATTTGGCTTGTTCTCAATATTCAAAGAGCATTGAGTAAGTATTTTTCCTGTAATTCAATATAGGAAGATTACATAAGAAGTGCTTGCCTCTCCACCCATTGTTATAATTGCTTTGTTAGTAAGACGCTCAGATGTTTCCATGCTGTTGAAAACTAGGTGCACAGCTGTCTGGAAATGACACAGAGATTGTACTTGTAGATTTGTAGATACATTGCATCCTGATTCATTTGCATTTACCAGCATTCTTGCTGTCTTCCACCTTCCGTTATCATATCTATTCTTGGTAAAGTCACTTTTTGGGCAATATTTGCTTAGCAGTTATTTGGAGATGCTGGTTCTAAATTTTCAGTTGAGAGTGCTGCTTTGAAGCTTCCTTATGTAAGATGGAGTTTTCTTTTACTTATCACCACCCCCTAGCAATTTGAGTCCAGGTTCTGTGTGTGCTCTCTCTTTTTAGAAAGCAAAAACAAAACAAAACAAAAACTTCAGTGTTTTCAGAAATAAACTGGCAAAATGCAATTGCTTACAATAAATTCCTGAGGGCTTTTCTTTAAAGTATTCCAGCAGTCTTTTCAGCTTTGAAACAAGTGCTTGGGGTTTACCCAAGTAGCCTTTGCATCAAGTAAGAAGATACATTTCTGGTCCCCTGAAAATCTGCCTAAATTGGCTCAGTCTTATGTCTTTGAAAGTATGTCTGCATGTGGTCATTGCTAGACCTTAAAGCTAAATTACCTTAAGCCTGCTGTCACTGAGAAGGCTAAGCTTCCTGCATAGTGTGGGTCCAGACAAGTTATTGTTTGAGGGCAATGCCTCCGATGAAGGCTTCAGGTCAGCAGGTAGACACGCATAGTGGCTACTCCTGGCTGCTTCTCACTGCTGGGGCTGCTGCCCAGGTCAAAAAGCAGGCACTACCTTTTCCATACAGAGTAAGTTCACTGCTTTAGTGGCCTGTAAGTGGATGGAAACATTTGACTGGGGTGAAGACAGAACAAAAATCAAGGGGAAATAATTTTATGGCTATGTAATGTGCGGTATGGGAATGTTGACAGGATCAGATGAAGATTTTGGGGACTGCTTTCAGTCTTAAGTTTACTTTGTTGCTACTGGAAAGCCTGGCTTTGCATCCCTGGGGTACAAAGTCCTCTTTGTCGTCCTTAGTTTACAAACACCTTAACAAGAAGAGAGGCTGAGGGAACTGGGATCATTCATTTTGGAGAAGAGGAAGCTCAGGAGAAACCTTGTTGCTTTCTACAATGACCTGAAAGGAGGTTGTGGCAAGGTGGGAACCAGCTGCTTCTCCTGCTGACAGTGATAGGATGAGAGGGAATGGCCTTAAGTTGCACCAGGGAGGTTCAGACTGGGTATTAGGAAAAATTTCTTCTCAGAAAGAGTGGTGAGGAATCAGAACAGGCAGCCCAGGGGCTGTGGTGGAGTCACCATCCCTAGAGGTGCTTAAGGAAAGGATAGATGTAGTGCTTAGTGACATGGTTTAGTGGGCAGTATTGGTGGTAAGTGGATGGTTGGACTAGATGATCTCAGAGGTCTTTTCCAGCCTTAATGATTTTATGATTATAAACTCAAGCTGTTAGAATGACACTCTTCTCAAATCAACGCTATATTTGAGGCCAGGGGAGAACACGTGGCTCAAATAAAAAGTCCAGCGTGCTTTGATTAGGCATTATAGGAGTGGGAAGAGGGTGTTGAACAAACAAGGTAGTGTCCTCTGCTGTTCTGTAGTCGAGTTTTTTTGTTGCTGTTGTTTGTTTGTTTGTTTTTCATCTCATCACGTACCTTGGGTATTACAATACAATTGCATGTGTCCATTTCTCAGTGTTCTCCAGAGGAAACTGTCAGACTCAGGTAAAGTGCACTTTCCTGGTCTGCAGTGTGTATGAAACAGCCCAGGTTCCTGTAACTGCTCATGCCCTAGAGAAAAATCATGCTTGCTTGCTGATGGATATTATCTGCAATCAGTGAGCAGCCTATTTAGCCAAACAAAAAGTACTGAAGTGTGATCATAATTTAAATACTTTATTAAATGCTGAATCATTAGTGGCCTTTTAAAAGGAGGAGATTGGGAAGTATAATTTCTTATCAGGACTCTTTACTGCAGTCTGGCAAGTCTGCGTTGCTTCTTCCCAGAGCTTGTCCCTCCAAGGCATGCTATTTCTACAGGGATGAGTGCTAGGCAGAAAGCCAAAAAATCTGAAAGATCCCATTATACTCTGTACTTCCAAGAACTAATCCAAATCCATTTGGTCTTTAAATGGTGACAGAAAAACTTAACAACAATGAATGAAACAACTTAACAACAAATGAATTAACTAAAGTGTCTCCCTGAACATTGTTTGCCCCAAAAACTCTCAACCTGAAGTTGAGAGTTGGGTAACGTCTACCTATTGGAGGTAGACATTGCCCAAATGGCTTTACCATGATGCAGTGGTCAGTGTGTGTTTGTTGGCCTACCTTTTGCACATCTTGGCTGGCCTTTGGGTCAGTTTGTGTTGGCCAAACGGGGGGATCAGATGGGAACAGGAACAAGAGGTGGGGAGGAGGTAGGTGCTGACTTCTGAGTCAGCTCTGCTGCTGAATGTTGGTCAGGGTTTGCACTAACAGTCTGCATTGGTAATGAAGTAACACAAAAATCATCTCACTCAGCATTGCTGCATTTAATTTTTTTTATTTAAAAGGAAAGAGAAATCTCTACACACTTAAATACTGTTTGTGGGATTTTTTTAACCCTTTTCTGATAGTTTTATTTTCTTTAATACTGTATTTAACACTGTACTGTGTAAAACTGTATACATAGTTGTGGTTACGACTGATATTGTTAATACATACTGATTTGTTTCTGATTAGTTTCCTGTAAGTATTTTTACAGTAGAGCTTGTAAATTGAACCCGCTGTGGGTAAAGCATGTCCAACACATCATGCGTATCGATTGTCAATACTTTTGGGTTAAGATCATTGCTCCTTTCCCTTTGTTTTGTCTCCTCTGAATGTTACTTGAAAGGGGAAGAAGGGTGGTTCTTTTTTGCTTGAAGTTTCCTGTTTGCTGGGGAAACTACCCAGTGTGTTGTCTGTGGGCATTGCAGCTGCTGGACAAGTTGACTTCTTCCAGTTTGGACACCTGTTGTCAGCCATCTGCTACATGTAACAAGACAAGCTGGTCCGGGCCAAATGAAAAATGGAAGAAGGTAGGTGAGACATGGAACTGTGCATTTGCTGCCTTAGTGACAGCAGTATCTGCCCAAATTCCTGGAAAAGGGGCAGCTCCAAGTGCTGTCTCCTCAACCACATAAAAAATGGGAAACCACAAGAAAGCTGCATCTTCTTTTTCATCGTGAAGACCCTTGGCTATTGCCAGCATTTAGGATTTACTGAGGAAGCAGTTAACTGTCTGAGCCAGCCTTGGGCAACTGCTGTGTGTGGAAAATGAGACTGCTTTTGTTTCTGAGCTTTACAACATCTTAAAAAAAAAAAAAAAAAAAAAAAAGGAAAGAAAAAGAAAAAAAAAAGTTGAAATTACTGCAAGAAACTCAGCACCTTGATGCAAACTTCTGAGAGTACCAAAGGGGAAATCAGTTGTGACTGGTTTCCGTGCTGATGTACGGCAGATCTATTTGTGTAGCTTTTTGTTCTGCCTCATTATAATGTATCTAGAAACAAAAACAGAACCCAAGCGCTACAGGTGCCCGCAGGGATCTCCTCCTCCCCCGGTGCAAAGCGCCGAGGCCCGGCACCAGGCGGTATCGGGAGGCGGCAGCCCCGGGCGGGGAGCCGGACCCGCTATCCGGCGAGGCCGAGCCCGGAGCGGCGGCTCTGCGAGGGCAGATAAAGCCGGTCAGCCTGCGCAGGTTCATCGCTCCGGCGGCTGAGGAGCCCGCGGCCCCGGCAGCGGGAGGCCTGCAGCGGGGAGAAGCCGCGCCCCGGGGCGAAGCTGAAGGCGGCGGGGGTGCGTTAGGCCCGGCCCCGAGGGCGAGAGGCGCTCTCGGGGGAGCCGCGGCCGCCTCCCGCCGCTGCGGAGAGCTTCGCCCGGCCGCCGCCATTTTGCGGGCCGCGCTCCCCCCGCGGCTGTCGGACCGTTCCCTCCCATCCGCCGCGCCGCCGCCTCCCGAGGCGGCCGGGCCGGGCTTCCCCTGCGGCGGGCGGGGGCCGGGGGCCGTGGTGTGGGCCGGGCCTCGGTACGGCGCCTCGGAGAGGCGCTCGGCTCGGCCCTCTGTCCGCACACCGGTGCCGAGCGCTAAGTAGGTAAGCGGCCCGCGCCTTCCCCAAGCGCTGCTATTCTGTTGCGTCTCGCGTTTCTCGGTGGAAACGCCGCGTGCTGGTGTCTGGGGCGGCTGAGGGACGGAGGGCGGCGGGGAGGTGCGGTCGCAGGAGGACGGGAGATGCTGCGTCCCTGCACGGCGGTGTGGCAACGAGGTGCTTCTTCAGGGCTGCTGACGGCAACGTGTGGTCTGCGTTCTGAGAAACGTTTTGCCGTTTGCTTCACAAACATGCGTCTGCTAACAAGCCCTAAGCTGAGCCTGATTGAAAACCGAGGGACGGCGTGGTATTTTGTGCTGTAGGCAACTGTTGCTTCATTCTGACGAGCCTGACCAGCTGCCTAGATGGAGCCTGGGGCAGCGATAGGCGCTGTGCAGCCACGGTTCCTCAGGGCTTCGGGTGTCCAGCACTGCCTTGTAACCACTGCACAGGAGAGCACTGGGGAAGCAGCGTGGCCTTGCTCAGGTGCTCAGAGATGCTTGCAGGCTCAGACCTCTTGTGGCAGTGTTTCAGGCTGCGTGCCAGCGGAGGGCTGTTTCTTGGGTTAGTTGCTGTTGGGGTTATTCTCTGTCTGCTTTCTTGGCTCGATGAAGAGAAAAGCAACTTGTGGTTAACTTGCAAGAATAGGAACTGTAGTAATCACTTCTTTCCACTTCATTTTATCATTGTAACTCTCCGAAGTTGCTTCCTCTTTGCGTTACAGTATAAGCTGTTATTCAAAAACACTTATCCCAGTTAAGGGGGAGATGAATGGTAATTTTTCCTGCCCCAGTTTGACTTTCAGCCTCCTGAATAAGTTGCCTCCCTTGGGATGTTTCTTCATCACATTCAGGTACTAAAGTCACAGTGTGAGATATAATTTGTAAGTGGTCTGTGCAGACCTGCCGGCACCACCAGGATTATCCTGAAAGTGGTGATAAGTGAGAGCCTGCGAGAGGATGTATACTGAGGTGTCTCCTACAGTGTCTTGCATGGTCTTTAATTTAAGTAATAATTAAAAAAGAAGAAGAAGAAAGAGTTTTTCTTTCTGGAAGAGAATTTTCTCTACTTTGGTATTCCAAGAGGATCCTGACGATGTTGCTCAACTCACAGCTACTGCAGAACTGAGTCTCTGGTCTGGTGAATTTTAACACTTTACAAATATTGACAACCTACAGGAGACGCAGGCAAACATCAGTGCTCCACTTTATTTCTTGTAAGCTGCACTGGTTCCTTGATCTCTGTCTGTTGTCAGTTCTTGTGCCAGATTTCCGCTAGTGATGCTAGATCTGTCTCTGCTTATGAATGCAGGCTGGCAGTGGGCTGCAGGCAGCTCCTCCTGGCACAGCTAATAGCAGATGAGGCAGCACTATTCTTAAAAGCTCTGTGCTTATTGGCCTGCAGTTCCCAGCAATGAAGCTGTGACTGAGCTTTCAAGGATCAAAATCTTAATCTTCAGTCCTTGAACAGAAGATGATATATTGTATGCAGCCAAAGACAAGCTCTTGCCTTTCAGATATATGTACTCATTTTAGCGTTGTTTGACTAGTTAATTTCTTATGCATACTGTGTGAACAGTTCTGTGTAGACTACACAAGGCTTTGGTTTTGGATCTGCTCAGCATTGTTGATTGCATTAAAAGCTGTGAAATGAAGACACTTCTGCTTACGTGAGAGGCCAGACTGAAGCCCTAGGTGTGATAAGGCTGTATGCCAAATCTGTGATTGGTTAGGTAATCCCACTGCAATTATGTAATGCGTGCATCTCATTGCAGATGGGACTGAGGGAAATATTCACTGTGATATGCAGCCCACCATACAAGAGCCTGCATTTCTGGAAAACATCCATCGCTCTGTGATAGATAATCTGTGGTACATGTGAGTGTTTTGGGCTGTATACAGCTCTGGAGCCGAAGGGGTGATTCACATCTCAGCCTTCCAAGGAGCACCAGCAGCAGCTTTGCCACAGTGTGCCATTTCTCTCTTTGAAACTCATGTGATTCATGAGAAATTGTGCCTGGCTGACTTTTACAGAGGCCCTTGGAATGAATTTCAAGGTGAGGATAGCCTGGAGGGAAGCACAGGAATGTTTGTGGCACTCTATAAAAGATGGTTGTAGGCTGTGTGGCATGTATATCCATGTCAGTTTTGATCTGGTGTTGGAGATAGGGATTGAGCACGTGCTGCTGACTGGTACAACCAGAGTCAACCTGCTGCACGCTCATTTGAGTGAGTCCTGGGTTATGAAACAGCAGCAACTCCATAAATAATTTAAATAGGGAGGAAAGAGAGGCATTTAAACAATTCTAGCACAATTTTGGTTTCAAAGAATTTGCTTATAGAGCTGTATTGATAGACTTGCCTGCAAATGCCTGGTCTGTATGAGGAAACAGCCTGCGTGGCTTAAACTGCTCCTCAGGAGGGAGAGAGGGGAAGAAGTTCTAACTGCAATTAGCTACTAGATAGCTGTGTGAGGCTGAGGCTTCTGTAGGGATCATTTTGAACATGTTGTGTTGCAGAGAGTCTCACATCTGCACAGTGCTGCAAGCTGGAGGAATTTGAGCTAGGACTGTTCCAAAACAACCGCTTTTTACCCTGCAGCTAGGGTAGAAAGTGGCCAGCTTCTATCAGGAATTCAGCCCTGGAAATCTCTTGATGTGCCAAAACAAAGTTTGGCTCTCTTTTGAGAATTTGCATGTCCTAACTACTTTCTTAAATTTTGCTAGTAGAAGTGGTTTGTCATTTGCTTTACTTACTGCTATTTTTTCATTGTTCTCCAGCAGATAATTCTTTGAGTTGACGTCCTAAATAAATCTAGGTGAGTGTGTCTTCTATTATGTTTTTTTTAAACATACAACATTTAAAGCAAGCCCTGCTTGGAGTGACAGCCATTTTTCCTGGGAAGAAGAGATAGCCAAGGCTGCTGGACGGATCCGGATGCTGCAACTGCTGAGGCCAGGTGAATTACAACAGCATCACAGAGTTGTTTACCAAAAGCTTTGGGCGTAAATAAATGTCATGAGTCAAAGGCTTTATGCTACACATGAATGTGTGTGCGCGCTGGATGCAAGGGTGTGAAGTAGGGCATACAAGATCTCATCTTTGCTCTAAGCTGATTTATTTGCTTTTGTAGCTGGCTGTTGTATTCTCTCTGCTCCCTGTGGACAGGAAAATAAAGGGTGGGGAGGCTCCTAAACCCAATTTTAGTTTTCACGGATCCAGCCACAGTGCTGTAAGAGGCACTGGTTTGAGGATGGAGAACCTCAGTTTTGCCACTGAGCTGTTAGATTATTTACAGCAGGCAAGTCAGTCTGCCTTTCCTTTAGCTGCCGTCTCTACAAAACGGGAGAAAACACTTTGACTTCCTCTCAAGAGTACTTTAGGATTTAGACTTGTCAAAAATTAATTTGTAAAGTTAGCACTAGTGTGATGAATTGGATCATTGGTTGTTGTCTCATGTGGATCCCTCATTAACTGGAAAGTGCATCATTAGCACAAGATAACAAAAAACTGGGAGAGGCTGAAGTTGCACAAGGCAAGATGCAAGCCTGAAGGGTGCTAAGATGACTTATTTCCTATACATCTTTCTTGAGGGTAGGGAGCACCTTGCAAATAATTTTGTACAGGTGTGGAGAAGCTACAGTCCTTGGTCAAATTTGTCTGCCTTGTCAAACACATAGTTCTTGTAAGGGCTATTCCTTCTATGTCCGTTATAAGGAAGAACAGGAGTGGTAAGAAATACAGACTGCTTCCCAGTAATGTTAGGAGAAGATGTAAAGCCACTTTCCAGAGACAAAATTGTCATCACTAGGGTGTGTCTTATGTTGATGCAAGCCCGGCTATGTTAGTGGGGAGGCCTAGAGTAAATAGACAACTCCTTGCATCCATGGAACTGCTCTGGACATTGTTTGGAGGTGAGAGGTAATTTTACACTGGAACAAATTAAAGGGGTAGTGTCTCTGTGGATGCACCCAGACTGAGGTCATTACCTAGTCTGTGTTGGCACCCCTGTATGCCTGGGCTAACTTCAGTATGAAAACTGGGCTTCTTTCTGAAAGAAACTACATGTAAATCAGCTGGCATGTGTAACGGAACTGTAGAAGTTGCCCTTACAGGCAGCACATTGTTAGCCCAGTAAATGCTGTCCCTTTTATGGGTATCAAAACCAAAAAGGATTCTGGTATTGGTTAGAAATAAGTAGGGCAGTTTTTCTGAGTCTTTTGATGAGCTGTTTTAAACATTAGCATCTGCATGGGGAAGAAACACAAAAGTAGTTGAAAGTCAGTGAATGCCATATTCTTTCTGGGCTGATCAGTAATGGGAAAAGAGCTCTTGTTATTTCATGATAGATTGAGTGCATACAGCTTACACTGTAAAAGAATATGGAAACAAGTTGTTGTTTGGTGGCTTAGAATTTTTGATGTGTGAAGAATGAGTCTGTAGAAGGATGTACAAAGGAAAAATCAATACTGATAGACTTTGAAAAATTTTCCCTGCAACACCATTATAGATGAATAGGAGCTTCATATAAATGAATAGATAAACTAGGTAAGTTTGCGTTTACCCCAAAGCAAAGGATTTTGTAACTTTTGTCTCTTACCCCTTGGAAATGGATGTACAACCCTGAGTAACTGTGGGAGGCATCTTTTTGGCAGAGTAGGAAAACCATTTTGGGCTTAAATTTACAGCAGAGTATTCACAAAAGAAGACTTGAAGACAGACTGCAGTGATAGGTCTGGATTAGGGCAAGAGCTCTGAGTCATCTGTTTATAATTGAATAAATGCTTATGAAAGTACAGAGGCAGAGGATGTAGTGAAACAGAAGAGGAACGAGCCCTATCAGCACCACAGGATTTTGAGGGATCCTCCCATGTAAATGCTATAAGAACAAGTGGAGATGGGAGGCGAATTAGGAGGAGTTCTAATTGCAAAAGGTATGGGAAGGGCAAGATCAAGAAGAAAAGGATGATTAGAATGTATGATGGTCACAAAGGATGAACTTAAGCTTTTGGTAAGAGCTATTTCAGGGGGAGGACTGGGTTAAATGAGATCTAAAGAGGAAAGTAAAGGAGGGCTCCTGACCATGCTTGGAGCCTGTGTGTGTGGAAGCAAAAATGAAATAGCAGTAGGTAAAGGGAAATCGAGGGTAGGGTTTTAATATTGGAAATGTAATGTGTGTTTTTATTGCAAAGGAAAAAGAACCAAGTAAGATATGAATCATGGAGGACATAAGATGTCATAGGGCAGGCACAGGGAATTAGAAAAGAAAATTTACAGTTTGATAATTGGAAGCAAAAAGAATGTGAGACTGTATTTGGGAATGGAGTTGACGAGGTAAGTAAGATTACAAGTTATAAGTAAGCTAATGAACACGTGAAGAGTTGTGTGCTGTCCTAATAGAGATTTAACTAGACTTCTAATTTCAGTCTGGCAAGATAAGGAATATATACTGAGAACTTGGCCATTGCTGTTTTCTGACTGAAGAGGGCTGAAGGGCTATGATTTCATCTAAATGTTGTTTAGATCCTAAAATAAGAACAAAAAGTCCTGCTGTTATAGCTCCTCTCCTTCCAGCAGATGTTTTTTTCTTTTTCCATTCCCAAACTACATTTAGTTTTAACATACAGTATTATCCTTAAATTTCAAGCTGAGCTCTTCAGAGATTTTTAGCCTCTATCATTTGTCTCGTTGGGTTGTGTGAACCTGCAAGAACATGTGAGAACAGAATGATTTTTCAGCTTTCTTATTTCTCACTTTTATTTCTCTATATCCACTTGTTAGCCTCATTGTTTGTTTTTCATGCTCTTGTAAGCTAAGCTCTTCTGTCAACAAGTTAGATAGCATAAACTTTCACCAACACATTTTGAGAAGTTAATGAATATCTTTCTTTGTTTTGCAGATGAGATCACTGAATGCTCTTTTTTTGAAAGAGGAAGTCAAAGGAAATGGATAGCTATTCTGACTTCAGTGCAAAGAACCTGTCATCATCAGCTAATATGTCTATCTCTTTGCCAGAACAAGTTGGACTCAATGTCACCGATGGTCCTCCTTCTATGTCAATAAGCAGGCTTTTTCCAGCCCTATTAGAATGCTTTGGAATAATTCTTTGTGGCTATATAGCCGGAAGAGCCAACATTATCACATCAACTCAAGCTAAAGGACTAGGAAATTTTGTCTCCCGTTTTGCACTCCCAGCTTTACTATTCAAAAACATGGTGGTACTTAACTTTTCTGATGTAAATTGGTCCTTCCTGTACAGTATCTTAGTTGCCAAAGCTGCCGTGTTTTTCTTAGTCTGCATTCTAACGTTATTGGTAGCCAGTCCTGAGAATCGATTTAGCAAAGCAGGTTTGTTCCCTATTTTTGCTACACAAAGCAATGACTTTGCACTGGGATACCCAATAGGTGAGTAGTTCCTTACGCTTTCTTTTTTCAAAAGTATTTTTAGTGTTGTAGATGTTTTTGCTTTTCTTTTATTTTCATTTTTTTTAATTAACTTTAGAGTGAAGTTAGGAGCTACCTAAACTTTCTCTCAATTTACATTTCTTGATGGAGCACAATTTAAAAATGAAAAACTAATCCTCAGGCCATGTACAGGTGTGTGTATTGGGGTGGGTGGAGCAAAGCTGTCAGCTAGCGTGAATGAAACAATTTAAGACAGTCCAACTCCTGTTGTCTAGCACTATATGATTTAAAAATATATATATTAAAATGTTTCAAAATTGGTGTAAATTCCCCTATACATTGTGTAGGTTAAGCTACCCTAATGGATAATTGCCAGTTACCCTCCAGAACAAAATTAATTGCATTGCAAAATAGGAGTCCACCTGTAGCCTCTGAAATAGCTGTAGTGTGGTTTGGTACTAATTTGGCATTAACTCTTGCTCTACATCAGAGAAGACACAGCAAGAATGTTGATATCTACTGACTGTGGAATGTGCCTCACAATCTCTTTAGAGCAAACTTTTGTGTTAATTAATTTACGTGGCCAATCAAGTTCTATCCCTTAATCTTTGTTTTCTCACAACCAATGAATGTTCCTTGGGATATGATCTTGAAAACAGTCTTTTAAAAGAAAGATTACTGTGTGATTTGTGGTAATTTGTTTATCTCAAATAGGAATTTTATGCAGCTGTGATACCTTTTTCAGTAAGTGCTACTAAGCACCAGTCCAGTGGACTTAAAGGGAGGGGGTGGAATACAAAGAGGCATTCAGAGTATAGTTTGTAGAGCTGTGTAGTTTTATTCTTGTAAGCCTGCATTTGGAATGCCAAACTATATCAGCTATTAAACTTGATTTTTATCCAAATCTGCAAGATTTACTTTCTTCCCTTTTGACAAGCAAGGTATTATTTTCCTTATTACAGGTTTTCTTAAGGGCATATTTATGTGCTTTTTAGCCATACATACTATGATTCTTGAGAACTGCTCTGGAATTGTTGCAGGCTTCTCCCACCTGCTGCTGTCTGACTAGCAGTGCTTTTTACCTGCCTTGGGAAGATTCTGTTTGCCAGTGCTGCTTCTCCCCATGCTGACCTGTGTAGCTGGTACCAAAAGCATGCTGCACATAGCAGGAATTTCCAAATACACCTTCAGTGCACGGTGTATGGGGAGGATTGCTGGGTTCACTGGTATTTGTTTACTTCTTCCTGAAGAGGGGGTCATCTGTGCCACTTAAGTTCTCATGATTACAGAATGAAAAATACAGATACAGAAGAAAAGCTCAAACATTCCAGATTGTGACAAGTAGCTCCATATTTGAGGGAACTTTAAGAGCTAGCAGTTTCATTCACCCAGTTTCAGGCACCATGCTGTAGAGAATATTGAATCTTTATTCTTTTTAAACTTGCTGGATGTGTATAAAGTACAGACAAATGCAATTGCAAACTTTTTCTTCCCTAGATGAAAATACATTTTCCCTCAGTTCCATCTCCTGAGACTTATTTGTCTTGTGGGAAATGTGAAGTATGATGTGAAGTATGTCCCAAACAGGGCTGTGAGGATTACTTCTTTGTTTCTTGGCACTGGATTAAAATGCCAGCTAGGGTTTCTCTGAGGCTCTCTGAACATATTTCCACTGCTTCCTTCTACTTAAAACATTCTACTTTGAATGACTTTCTTGTCAGATTACATTTTTTTCAAATATTCCTTGATTTATAATGCATGATTTGTGCCTGCCCTATGTGCAATCTATCCAAATTCACATGTGGTTCATTATGAGCTTTACTGGCACACCTAACACAACAGTAGCACTGTAGGCACTTAAGGGCTCTTTGTTTCTTAGAGCTGTTTATTTCCTTTCTCCCCCTTTCAGTTCTCCCACCCCAAACTTTTGCCAGTTTTCAGCATTCTGTTGCATACGTAAACTATTTACCATTAGTGTGTCACTTCTGAAGTGTGTGCAGGGCTGGACACGGAGTGCCTTCTTTGTTTCCTCTTACTTGTGTGTTAAGTAGTGTTTTGAACAAAATTTCATCTTGTTATGGATAGCTTTTATTAATTATGCCTTTAAAAGTCATATGCTTCACTTTAAAATTGCATAGCAGAAGAATTTAGTAGAAACAATTCTGTATATTGCAGTAACACAATTTTAAAGACAATTTGAATGGTAAAAAAAATTCAGACTTTTTATCCAATGTGATTTTTCTTCTGCAGTAATTCTTGCTGTTGAAAAAATCTGTGCATGGGGAAAAAACCTAAATGAATAGGAAAATAAAAATGAAGATTACATTTGCATAGCTCACCACCTTGCTTTTCTCTAATCCCTGTTACAACAGTTCCCCACTACAAAATGATGTTGGCTTGGAGTGAAAAAGAACTGGTACAGTAGTTTGTTAGCATCCCCCCATTGTAAATACAGTTGCTAAGAGAGAAAGCTTTGTCTGTTTGGTTTGTCCTACGGGGTGAGGTGGTACAACCGTGGGTGAGCAGATATGCCTACTCTTGGGTGCTGTGTAGTTAAAGAACAGGTGTAGTGTTGTGTGGATGATGGGAGGCTCCATTACAGCAGCTGTAATGGTGCAAAGCTCACTAAGCATTAACAGCTGTGATAGATGTGTTTTTGAGCAGCTGGGATGGGGAGAATTGGGGAAAAAAGAAAGCTTAACTGTCATTATGGTTGGTGGGAAATCGAGGTTCCTTTTTCAAGATTTTCTATATTTTCTATTTCTATCTATTTCTTTCTTTTTT